TCCGCAGGTTGTCTTCTACTTCTAGTATCGAGGACATGCACTGGGGGCATACGCACATACGCATCGCTTACCCTTGTCAGTTCTGCCGTGCATCCCGCGGGATCGCACCCATTGGAGTCGCCGAGGCTGGGATCGAACAGGGCAGACGTGGCCGTGACGGTTCCCAGGGAGCCGGCCTCGACCTCCGTGGTATCGACAACATCATCGGTATCGGTAACACCGTCGTCGACCAGAATCTCCACCTGTTCAACGACAAAAAAGAACGAAAAGAAGTATTCCATCGTTCAAAATGTGTAGGCGGTGATTCTCATGGAAGCCCAGAGGAGCTGGCAAGCTGCTGGGATAACTCGGGCACACCGTTGGCATTGTTCGGCATTTACGAAACGCTTGCCGAGGTAGGCGTGTGAGTGCCGCGTGTGCAGATCGGAGATATGCACGAACGGCGGCAACATGAACGCACACGACCAGTCAATGACCTGCCAACGCCACACCAACAACCTCCATGATGCTGAGCCACTCCGAGTCCTCGAGAACCCCGACAATCTCGATCCATCGCCCCATAGTATCGACTTCAATGGTTTCAAAGTCGGTGGTCGTGCCCGAGCTGGTCCAGACAGTGTACGGGAGGTTGTCGATGTTGATTTCGAGGGTTCTCGTCCGCTCGTCACCCTTGTACATCGCTGCGAGCAATCGTGACACGTCACAGGAAGTTGAGTAACGCGATGTTTCTCACTCGTTGGAAACTCAGACGGCCGGAGAGAGTTTGCGGACATTGATCCGCCTTGCGTGGTCACGTGTTCACAGGAAAACTGCCCCCAAACGGGTACGAAAAACAGTCTGACGTTGCAGCACGTGGCACAAAATGAATAGAGGAGATCGATAGAAAATGAGAGAGGGAACGGTGCACAAAGGCCGCCGCTCACACTCGACACACAAGGGGCAGGCAACCAAGACGAAAAACTCTGCGCGATTCTATGCATAACGTGTAAGGAGTTTGCCCACACACCAGTAAACCAGACCGCGTCCATGTAGCGAGCAAACAAGTGTTCTATCGACGCAAGAATCGACAGAAGGAGAATCGGCGGTATTCCCGACGATTGTGGAAGATTTCCTTGCTACTCGAGAAGATTCCTGGCCAAAATCTTGTCATGAGGATGCGGCTGCATGGTACTCGTGCAGAAGGCTTGCTCGAAACCGTTTCCGTGACAGCTTTGATAAGGAAGTCTGCTTTGGGGATGTAACCCCGCACTCTTACAGCGCGAGTTCTTACACTAACAGCAAGACAGGACCACGACTACCGCAATTTAAGCAAGCAGAACCATTAATTATAGAGTACACAAGAAACGAGATCTATCGGTACACCATACATACCGATGTTCAAACCGGTCAGCTGGTACTGGATGCCCAGGTCGTACGTGATCCTACACACTGAGCCGGCATCGCCAAGGGCAGGCTTGCAGGACCAGCGGGATTCAAGAGATGTCGCGTCGCCATCCTGTGCGGCAGAAAAGGCGGCGAAACGCTTAGACTGCTGTAAGGGTTATCTTCGTTCCACAAATTTGTTTGCGTTTCGCTGTCGCGGGGGAGTGTCGATTTTTGGCATCTGGTCTGAAAACACCATTGCTGTGTCGAAAAGGCACAAGCCGGCACAGAGTGTAAACGTGTCTCAATTTGCTGGGTCTCCCCGGGATGTATCACCCGCCGGGGTAACTATTCACGAAAAAATACAAAAATGAAAAACTCAAACTTGCCACACTTTTTCCTTCCCGGAGGTATGCGACACTGCCGTAGGTTAAACGGTATGTGCGGAAAAGGCAGCGTCGAAACACAGAGGCACACAGCAAGTCCACCTGGAACGATGTCAGTGTGCTACAAACATGCATTTACCATTTACTGCTAACCCTAAACCTGGTGCTGCTGGTCTACAGACGACAGTTGTATGTAGCATGTCTCGCAAAAATCTCAATCTCCGACAACACCATACAGCAGTAGCGCACATGGTTTGTGCTGCTTTATGTGTTGTGTCCTCCGACATATGTGCCAGGTACATGGTCTACAGCAGGAGTGGATTTTGAATTTCATCGTCGTACAGCAGACAGACCAAGGCGTTTGTGATCCAATTTTCGCTCAGACTTTGGCGCGAAGGCTCTAGTCTACAATCATAAATCATTATGAGTGCTCTACACTGTACAGTTACAGGTACGGTAGATCACAGTTACAGTGTAGATCACCAGTAGATCTACGGTATCTATGCTAACTCTGCTGAACAACACATATGGGCTTTAGTCTGAATTGCAAGATCCCACAGCGGGTAAAATTTTAGTCACTGGTTTTGGACCAAAGAATAATGGAGACGGCAACAACAAACTGTACAACAAGTCTACTAGAAGACTAGTCTACATGGCTGCTGCATGGTGATTCCGAAACTACAAATAGACTATTAAGTGGGCTCACTCTGGTATTGTCGCCAATGCAGCCCGTAGGGCTACAACCACCATCACTAGCAGCGACCGTAGTGTCATACAGTGGTGCTGCGACGGTCACGGTGGCTAGCGTACTAGCTTCTACAACGGCCGCCAGGGCCGAAGAAGACGGCCCAGCGCACGCGGCCAAGAGACCGACTTGGACGAGAGCCCCTCTCATGGTGCCTGCTGTGTGTGTGTGTAGATTGGTTCAACCGGAGAAGCAACTGTTGTTGAGGTTTTCGCCTGGAATTGTCAAGGTTTGTACCCGTGATGTGTTTGCGGCAGTGACGATGGCGTGTACGAGCGACAACCCTTGTGTGAGAAAAGGAGGGAGAGGAATGTTGAAGCTGGGGGACGAGAGGGGCCGGGGAGGGAGAGCGAGAGGAGCAGCGGCAAGACTTTTCGGGAATAATCGTGAAAATTATCAGCACACGCTGGAGTAATTGATGCCCCTTTGATACCCCGCCAGCACACGCCTTCGAAGGAGTCATCAATAGATGGCCAAACTGGATCCACCCACTCCAGCCACGGAGCTCATCCATGTGATGATAGGTCTCTAGTCAGAGGACCTCATCATACTTGTTTCTAGTTGAACCGACGTGTGCCTGAAAGTTTTATGGAAGAGCGATGTTGTGACTGTAGATTGCTGTATGTAAATGATTAATTAATCCGGTGACCTGTTGTTTATAATATAAACCGGCCCGGCGCTTCGTTGTACCGTGTAGTGCATCGTTCCTTCAGTAGGAACTGGTCCACATTCCATGGGAATCACACACACACATGGTAGGCTAAACCACCGCCGTGGACAACAAAATAATATATAACCCGATTGTACTGAAAAATGTTGCGCTTCAGATATTTCTACGGAATTTCTTTTTCAAGAATTTGAAATATTCGAACATCGAACTGTCTGCAGACAAGGATGAAATAGCCCGCAACGCCGCTCTGAAGAAAATAACCCGTTGGAACCGAAACGAGTGATGTTGATGATCTCGCTCCTTGTCTCTCTCACACACACGCTTCTCTCACGTCCTCCACACCAATCTCCAGGCCTCCCTTCCTCCGAGATAGAGCTACCCCCGCCTATACATTGCACATCGAAGAGGTCGACTGACGGCAGCAGCAGCAGTAGAAATCAGATTAGCCGTCAATGAGGGCCCGACAGGCTGCCCTTCTGTGGGCTTGCTCTGCCAGCCTCTCGAGGTTCGCGGACGCAGCCATGGTCGAAGCTTCCACCTTGGCAACCGTCACCGCGGTTGCGGACCTGTACGATCCGAGCCTCAGCGCTGAAAACGGATGCGATCCGTCAGGGTGTGTCGCTGAGCTAACCAGAGTGAGTGGAATCTGTGCTGCGACTGACGGCCGTCGACATGATAATGTGTACGTTCTGCTTGTTGTTGGGAGACCGCGGGAATTTCAATTCTTCCATAGCTTCTCTCGGACCTCGCACTCGAACAGCAGCCAGCAGGCGCACTGCCGCCGATATATCTGCATGTGGCCAATGTGGCTGGTATGTATCTTGTTGAAGGGAGGTTCCTCTTTGACCGCGTTTGCCTGGCTACGCTGCTGATTGATTTGGCATTTTGCTGATCCGGGTAAATTTGATTACAACGAGAGGCAGCTGCTGCTGCTGCTGCTCCTGCTGACCGAATAGATAGCCGGATGGTCTAATTTTATCGATTAGAACACACATCTACTGCTGTGTAAGGAGTTGATGTTGGTTCGACAGCCGGAGAATCAGTCGCTGAAATTTCGTGGCCGTGGCTTATGTGCCTGTACACGCCGTCTTCGCCCAAACTCGTATCCGAAGCGAGGAAAACATTTTGTTTCAGGGTTAAAGGAGTTATTTGCAGTCGGTAAAACAAATCATGGTCGCGGTGCCTTCATCTTCAAACGCCAGCACATTGAACAGGGGATGCCAGTTACAGTACATTGCCCGTCCTGCCAACATCATGAAGGCCTTTCAACGGCAATTTACCGCAGATTTCTGGGATGAACCCACCGTTCCCCGGGGTTTACATCTTTGTCATTCATTTGCAGCGGTTCGCGAATTGTATACATACCATTTTCAAGTAAACAGACGTGGTAGTCAAACCCGCCCCCCCATGATTGAAAAAGTGGCGTTTTGGTGCAATATGTAGCAATGCATACAAAGAGAATATTCGGTACAGCAGTACTTCTATACGGCAAAGATTGAAGGAGGTCGAAAACTGGACACGGTTAGAGTTGTCTCTGCGTCTGCAGGTATGCATTGGTAATATGCAAGCGCTATTCCAATCCCGCAGGGGAGGCGCGCGAAATCACCCGGAGCCCCGTACCTCAGAAACGGGCCCACCAACGGGGTCTACCATAAACTTCAACATTGAACTGCAATGCCCACTTGTAACCGGTTGTTCCCAGGTCATGTACATGCTGGCAGAGTACTGCCCATCACTTTCGCCCACAATTTGGGTGTCCACAATGTTTTGTGTTCGCTATCGTCGATTTGTCGATGCCCGAACCCCAGGATGGCGACGCGACATCTCTTGAATCCCGATGGTCCTGCCAGCCTGCCCTGGGCGATGCCGGCTCGGTGTGTAGGATCACATACGGCCTCGGCATCCAGTACCAGCTGACCGGCTTGAATATCGGTACGGTTGTGTGTGGTCGTGGTCTGTTTTGCCAGAAAATGTTTTGTATGCATAGAATCATGCAGAATTTATCGTCTTGGCTGCTGCTATATGTAATCTCGTCCTGTACCTAAATTTGTGTGAGCGATGGGCTTTGTGTATAGATCCTCTGTCATCCAATCTCCTCTGTTCATTTGTACCACCTGCTTCAAAGTCTGAATGTGTGTGGTACCTTTCAGGGGGTAGTTATCCTGTGACCACGTGACCACGCAAAGGCAGATCCATGCCCACAACGACTGAAACACGTGGCGTTAACGAACGCAACTTCCTGTGTACGATTGCTCGCAGCGATGTTCAAGGGGGACGAGCGGACGAGGACCCTCGAAATCAACATCGATAACCTCCCGTACACTGTCTGGACCAGCTCGGGCACGACCACCGGCTTCGAAACCATTGAAGTCGACACTATGGGGCGATGGATCGAGATTGTCGGGGTTCTCGAGGACTCGGAGTGGCTCAGCATCATGGAGGTTCGTTGGTGTGACGTTGGCAGGTCATTGCCTTTCATAGTCGTGCCGATTTTTTTCCCATTTGTTGTTTTTGAAGCCTAATCTATACACGACTCACGCTTACACACCTGCCCCCACAAGGGTTTCGTAAATGTGGAACAATGCCAACGGCGTGCCCGAGTTATCCCAGCAGCTTGCCGGCTCCTCTGGGCTTCCATGAGAATCACCGCCTACACATTTTGAACGATGGAATACTTCTTTTCGTTCTTTTTTGTCGTTGAACAGGTGGAGATTCTGGTCGACGACGGTGTTACCGATACCGATGATGTTGTCGATACCACGGAGGTCGAGGCCGGCTCCCTGGGAACCGTCACGGCCACGTCTGCCCTGTTCGATCCCAGCCTCGGTGACTCCAATGGATGCGATCCCGCGGGATGCACGGCAGAACTGACAAGGGTAAGCGATGCGAATTCCCCCAGTCCGTATTCTCAATCTTGCAAGACGTTAATTCCGCTTAAGTCCAACGGTCAACCCGGCCAACGGTCTCCAACCGTATCCCACAACACAAAGCTTGTGTCGATGTACATGACGAATGTCTAGAACGTAGTGCCCTCTCCCGCACTGGTATCCTCCCTCCCAGATGATTGTTCTGCTCTCTCTTCCTCCCAAACACTAGCCTCGCCTGACCAAGAATATCTTATTGTCAACCCCGCTGCAGGATGGGGACGTCTCCGACGAATCTAGGTGGTCTTGCGCCCCCTCGCTCGGCGGCACGTGCAGCATCTCCTACGACCTCGGGGCCGTCTACGACCTCTCCGAGCTCCGCCTCGGTAAGGCCACGTTCGTTCACGCTCACCATGAACCACATCAAACTTCAGTACTCGGCGCTTTTTATGATCACTCTCAGTGTTTTGTGGTAAATACTTGGGCTAGCCCCGACACACATTTTTGTTGCACCGACTCGTTTCACGCGAAAAACACGGCTTACCTGATCACCTAATGTGTGATCCAGTTTCCTGACGATTATCACCTAACTGTTGCGATACCGAAACTGATTCTGTAACGTTGTCAGCGTTGTACAATGGAGCGACCAGGGTCAGGACGGTCGATGTAACCGTCGATGGTTCCCTCGCCACCACCTGGACCAGCTCGGGCACAACGGACGGCTTTGAGAGCATTGATCTGTCGGGATACTCTGGACAAGACATAACCGTCACGGGTGTCCTGGACAATTCGGAGTGGCTCAGCATCAAAGAGGTGAGGACGCACGTTTGCTGTGCCCACGTCGGCGTACGCTGTGATCAAAGCTTGCGCGGCGGCGGCGACTTGACGCAGTACATGTAGCAGGCGTATCCGGATCACTTAGTGTGATATGGTTATGGTGCATGTTTCAGTTGCAGCTCTTTTCCCACATGCTGAGCGTCGCGGTAAACAGGGAGTTTCAGGTTGATTTCCATGGCACTGTCCCAAATGCAGCCTTTCCTGTGGCTCGAACGGCTCCTTCGCGCCGCACAACATCTCCATCAAGACGTGAGTGTGTATCTCCCTCAATTTACACACGCCTGACCTTCCCTACCTCGTCATCCCGAGCAGACGGAGATCATGGTGCTATCGGACGGCGTCGTTTCGCCGCCCAGCCCTTCTACGACCACTCCTGCCCCCGTCTTCGCTCCCGTTGCCACTCCGAACCCAACGGTCGCCACCCCAGAGCAACTCTTTTCTGCCAAGGAAATCGGGACCCAGGACACCACTGTCACCACCACGGCGGACTTGTTCGATCCCGACCTCGCCGTGGACAACGGCTGCGACCCGGCCGGATGCACAGGGGCGCTCACAAGGGTAATCGATAACTCCGCGCCTTGTAGCTCGATCCACCAGCTGAATTTAGGGGGGGGGATTGTTACGAGGTGCTGTGTTTTTCTGCTTCGAGCGGGGGTCCTCCTGGATGCGTCTTTGACGAAAATGTTTTGGACGCAAGGAGGTTCGTGGTTTCTTCGCAAAAATGGCGTTTGTCCAGAGGTAGAGGAGTTCAACATCCCCCTCTCTGCGTCGCTGCTGTACGTCGTTTCTCTCTACCGGTGAAAGGATGGTGACATGACGGATACCTCACGCTGGGCTTGCGCACCCAGCCTTGGCGGCGTCTGCTCGATCTCGTACGACCTCGGGAGAGAGTTTGGCCTCGATGAGCTCCGAGTCGGTGAGAGACGAAGGGAAATATTTTGTTGTGTTAGATTCATGACACAAGGGCTGACCCCCCTTGCCGGCTCGGCAACGCCTTGCACTACATGGTATGCATGGCAGCATCCGCAATGGTCTGAAGATCGCCGTTGTCGCTGCTAGCTGATGTCGTGTCCGAGGCGTTTCGGATTTGAACGGCGGTAGGTCTCATCCAAGCTCTCGGTGGGACGTGCTCGCGTGTGGTTCGTCATTGTCCCCTTTGCGCCTCTCTCCTCGCCCACAACTCCGCACCTCGAGGCTGAAGCGACTTCCTTCGAATAGCTCGCCCTTCGCCCACCACAAGAGATTTGGGAAAATGTAACCTACAGCCTCTTCCCGCATCGTGTCTAGATCGTCAACGACTTGCGAAAAAGCAGTCTGAGGTTTTGTCAAACACTAAATTCCTCGCCTTACTCCCCTCTGCTGCCAGCGCTGTACAACGGCGACATTCGGGTCAGGACGATCGATGTATTCGTTGATGGTGCGCTGGTCACCACCTGGACCAGTTCGGGCACGACGGACGGCTTCGAGAGCATCGCGCTCCCAGACACGGCTTCCGGGACGGTGATCGAGCTCCAAGGCGTCTTGGACGACTCGGAGTGGCTCAGCATCATCGAGGTTGGTTTTCTGCCGTTCTACCCAACATTGACACATGACACGTGTGTAGCTTTGTGCTGAGCCCCATTGACTTGTATTATCATTTCGAAGCAAGAGCACCAAGCAACACAAACAGATGCGTGCGTGTCGAGACTATGGCCCACCCCTAACACAACAAACGGGCACTGGCTTGATTGGCCAACATCGATCAGCCACTTCTCACGACTCACCTAACTCGCCGCCGTCGGTGTGTCCCATTTGCCTGCCCTTGCTTGTCACCGAACAGACGGAGATCATGGTGTGGCCACAGAACGTCGTCACGCCGCCGCCCGCCCCAGCGGCGACCGTTCCTCCCGCTACCGCTCCGGTCCAACCGGTGACGCCGCCCAGCCCTACGCCTGCGGGCGACCTGCAACCCGTCGGCCTGACGCCCCTGGCTATCGGGGATGAGTCGCCGCTCGACCGCTACGCAACCAAGGTGCGTCTGCAGAAGTGCAAACCCTGCACGTCCGCCCGCTCAGCATGGGTACTGTACACCATATTGTTTGTTGGGCGGGGATTTTCCGTCGCTGCTGCCGTGCTTAGGACGCGTCTGCCGTTGTCTCGTGATGATCACGACTTGTCGCGAACCTTACTGTTATGGCGGATGTAATGCTTCCTCCCAATGCTGGACATTTGATTGAGATGTTGGAGACCATTGGAAATATCGTGGGTTGGATTGCCTGTCGAGACCAACCATTGTCGTGGCACCGAAAGCGTGCCTCTCCAAAGGAGAATGACAGACTGGGCGCGAATCGTGCTGTGTCGCCGTTCTCTTGTCTGCTCTTTCCCTTGGCCAGGACGGGGACTTCACCACCTCCTGGACGTGTACAGGCGACCCCACAGAGCCAAACGACGAAGGTATCACGAATTATCAGTGCGAGCTCCTCTTCGGCCTGGTGTACTTCCGCCACGTCAAGCAGGTCAAAATCGGTGAGAATTTGATTTTGTCTTGTGCATCTCGGATACGTCGGGTTTCTGAGCGCCCGGTCGGTGGTCCGTTGACCTGCAGACGGTGCACTCACACAACCAATGGTGTCAATTGCCCACCTCGGGCTTCAAAGCGTGCTAAGCTGCAAGCTGGTCTTCGCGAATCTAACCCTACGAAAAATGAACCTCCCTCTCCAGCCGTCGTCGCTACCCTCTTCTTCGTATGCCGCAAGAAAACTAGAAACAGAGGCTCAAATGTCTTCGAAAAATATGAAATTAGATATAATAAACATAGCGCAGCGGTGGGTTCCTCCACGAAACTCTGCTCGACGGTGGCGACGAAGTGTGAAGTCGAACCCGGTATTGACGTTTCTCATCTCCGTGCCCGTTCTGTACGCTGTGTCGGTCTTCTTGGTCCGCTTTGTCAAGCTCTCGCCGACGGTGCCGAACGTTCGGTGGACATGAGGCTAGCTGGCCGTTTCGCAAGCTCGGTGAGTCAACTCCGGGTGTCGTATTGTGTGTGGGTTGTTATCTTGTGTCGTATAAGACGGCCAACCCGTTGGGCTGGCCCGTACAGGCTTGCCGGGGTCCTGGACTCCGTTGCTTCCCCTTCCCCTTGGCGTTGACTGTGTTGTACATATCTTCTGGCCCTTGAAACAGATCGCTGAGGAGTTCGTGACGAGCTCGGGAACGACCGACGGCTTCGAGACGTACGACTTCGACTACAAAGCCAGCAGCATCAGGATTGCCGCGGTCTTCTCCTCGCCTGGGGAGTCCATTTCCATCTCGGAGGTCAGTGGACCCCACAGAGGGTACTCACGTGTATGCTGAGACATTCACTGTTGTCCCTCCTCTGCCGTTTCGTGCGCATGGTCTCTGTTCGTGCGTCTCTCCTCGTGGGGTCGAATATTTACCTCTTGGTTGGAGCGCATCATAGTAGCCATGTCAGGATGTTTTTGATTGGGGAGGTTCCGGGAAGCCTCGTTGCCGACTGCTTCGAATCGTCGTTTTCCAGAGCCTCCGACTTGCCGCGTAACTAAGTACGCCTCTGAATGGCGTTCGGTCGAGATTACGCGATAGTGTAGGAATCGATCGACGCTTGCCCAAACAACTACTACGGCGGTGCCCCCATCTCACTCGGTCCGATACCATTGTATGATTCTCGTCAGGTGGAGATCGTGGAAGAGGTGGTGGAAGGCGAAGCCCTCATCGACGGCTTCAGCACCCCTTACGACAACGGAGACGGCCTTTGGAACGTGAGCGCTGTGATCCCCTCGTCCATTTATCCACCATAACGTGCTTCACTGGTTCGACCAGTAGGAAGGCGGCAGCCGATCACAACCCTGGGGCTGATGGGGGTACACAGTAGTCCTCTTGGGACTAGACGTGTGCGTGGTGCGGGACAGTGTATGAGGATATTTTATCCCAACCACCGACATCGCACCTGTGCCTTTCCGAGCTCAAGGAGTTCGTAGGCATCCGCGTTGTTGTGACGAACCGCCGACCAACAGCATCTACTACGTAGGTCGATGACGAATTGCAACGGCAGTTAGTTGCCCTTAAAGCACCTCTTCTGGTTTGCCGTCGACGTTGATGCACAGGAACCGACGACTGACGGGTTCGAGTGGAGTTCCGACTCCGACGAGGCCATCGACCGGAGCTTGACCTTGTTCCTCGCCGGATACTACACGGTGACGGAACTCCAGCTTATGTTCCCAGAGGGCGACACATACAAGTTTGACCTGACGCTTTTCAACAAGCTGGACGGCACAGGCGAGGCGTACACGACTATCACGGTGAGAGGGATAGAAGCTTGAGTTCCGGCACTGGTGTTTGGTTCGGTTCGCTGGGCTCATCAAGAATAATAAACACGTCGGCTGTGTGGGCTGTTCCAGCTCTCTTTGTTCATCTTGCATCACCCCCCCTTTGGGATACATTGCAGAACATTACCCAACTCCGTTCGCGACACCTTTGTCGGTTGCTTCCATGTTAGGCTGGAAACTGCGGAGAAATTGTTCTCCCGTTCGATGCTTTTATTGGTTAGTGCCCGTAAAAGAGTAGGCAGGCGTGTTCGCAGCCCTTCGCGTTCGGGGGACCACGCCGTCCGGTATGAAACTGTCGCGACTGACTCCCGCAGGTCTTCCACACGAGTTGACCTCCGCCTTTCACTCACTACGAATGGCAACAGGGTCTCGAAAGCACCGATACCGCTGGGTTCCAGTCCTTCGACCTGACGGGGTTCGCCGACCAGTACGTCACCTCCATCGGAATCGAAATGAAGGGGACCGGCTCGGGAGCGCCCGGGTTCGCGATGCTTGACGCGCTGGTGCTCGGAACCAAGATCGACAACCCCACCGACACGTTCCACGTGAGTGTTCGAGAGTGCGGTATTCAGAGGTCCACCGGAGAGAGACAAGGGGAGAGAAAGAGAGACGGAGAGAGAGGGACGGAGAGAGAGGGACGGAGAGAGAGAAAGGGGAGAGAAAGATAGCAAGACAGAGGCGTCGAGATGTATCATGTGCGTGCTTTCAAGGCAGCACTGGCCACCTGATAACAGCCAATTTTTTGGCGCCCGTTGGAAAGCCCTGACCTCACAAACTCACAAACTCGCAAAACGTCTCCCTTGGTTCCGGTAACCGGTCCCCTTCCCCCACCTGAACATGTCGTTCTGGATGCGTTCACAGGTCGGGTCTACTTTCATTGAGTACTGGAGCGGAGACGGATACCCGGACTTCGTGGGGTCGGGCTCGGGAGACCAAAACGCAATCAACGGTGCCATTTGCGCAGTGAAGAAGGGTACTTACGACGGTGTGAACTGCGTCGACATGGATGACACTGCTACGGGCACGGTGAGACCTCTCGGGTTACTGCTGTCGTTCTTTAGACTTGGGGGAAATGCTAGAATGTATGTAGGGTATGTAATATGTCTGGGTCAAGTCGTCATCGTGCGCGACTCTTTCCTAAATCGAACCGCACTAAATACCACCCTTTCTAATGTATTGTTGTCAGCGCTCTGCGGTTTCCGACGGTGTCCCCCGGAGCCTCTTCGGTTGCCTGCGCCGTTGACGAGGCCGGCTGTTACTTCACTCCTGCAGAAATATATCCATCATCTACCGCAGGACATGCCTCAACCCGTCGCCCATCCGCCCTCACACGGCTCCTCCAAGCGGGGTGCTGAAGCTCGAATTGTCTGTTCCATTGTGCCCGTACGCCGTACATGTGTATGGGGAATTTTTGTGATTGCGCTACTCCTCGCAGGTGGATCTGTCCTTTGGTGCGTACTATGTCGACGGCAACGTCTTCATGCAGTCTGGCGTACTCCTCCTCGGCGCGTGAGTACCCGACTTTTTGTTTTCCTATTTGTTTTGCCCAATGATTGTTCTTATTGCTGTGCCTAATTGTGTCTTGAGCGAGCCACTACAAGTAGTCTTTGGAGCGCCTGTATGCCTATCAATGCTGTCTATGAAAGTGCTGTCTTTTATAGCACAGCAGCACGAAAAGTTTCTGCGCCCGTGCTAGGTCGGTTCAGCGTTGTCCGATCGGTCTCGTCTCGGTCGTGGGAATGCCCGCTGCTGCATGACGTTGGCGCATGTGTCGCTTCGTTCCTAGTGGCAGGGAAACAACTGTGGCTGTGTGCTTGCGGTTCCGCCGTCCTCATCAATCCGTGCAGTCCATCCTTTCTGCTTTAAGGCTCCCGGGATGCTTTCTGTGGTTTCCTGTTGGTTTTCTTCTTCGCCCCGCGTACGCACGCGTGGTACATTGGAAACCCGTTCCTTAAACATTGGTTGTGGTGTCACACTACGCTTGTTTTCCCTACCAGGTTCGGTGATGACGACCCAAACACGACCGACTTCGTACTGGAGGAAGGGGCTGAGGGAAACACTGACATCGACGCCATCGTCGTCATGGACGGCATTAAGGACGCCTGGGTAAGCTGAAGCTAAAATTGGGGGAAGTGGGTGCTTGACAGAGAGTATATGCGCGAGTGAGGAGACGAACGCATGCGTCTTGAAGGCTTTAACTGGAAGGCTGTGTGAGTGAGTGCAGAGAAGAATGTACCAGGAGGAGAGTCAGAGAGGGTTAGGGTAGTAGAGGGTTCTATTGTGCTAGATTTGACTCGTGACTCGAGATTCCCACAACTCTCCGATGGACTCGTTTCATTTTCGGCGGTCATTGCACCTTGTCTTGCGACCCATTTTTAGTTTTGTTTTTGCCGTTGGAGGGTGCAGAGTACACCCGAGAGCCTGTACTATGGTGTGCGCATGTGACTGCAAGGTCGCACCCAGGCCTGTGTTATGTGCATGGCGAAAAGTAAACAATACGACAAGGAGTTTAACACAAACACGTAGCTAACCAGAAGGGTGCCGTGTGCTCCGTGCATGCTCGTACAAAATGGTTCAGATGGAAGACGTGTGGATCCAAGGGAATTACGACCCTGAGACCGACGGCATTCCCGCCGTATCTGGCCTGGGATCGGCCTGCCTCTCGGTTGTGAGCTCCCAGGTGAGGCGACAAGAATTGCCTACCAGAATTGATCGGATCTCCTCGCACAAGCCGGATGTACAACGCCTGGAATGGTTTGTGAAATATGCGAAATGGTTGGCTGTGAGGTGCCATGCTCCTGAAGCGGCAGTTGAGTGTACGGTGCCCGCCCGTGCGGAGATTTTCAAAGTTGGTGTTGCCAGGTTTGGTCGTGGCTTGAAGATATAGCAGTTACAGTTTTTTCTGCCTCCCTGCTCACAAATACCCTGCCCAAGCTAAGACTCTCTCTCGATTCCTCCGCTCCTCCTCTTCACTGCTCGATACTGAACGTTTGTAATTGGCATCGTTTTGACCCTCGAATAAAACAGAACATTACTTGTGAGGGCGTCGACATTCGCTACTGCAGCGGTGACGCCCTGGTCGTACGCAACTCTGCCCTCGTCAACATCGACGCCGGCAGATACGACGAGTGAGTTGGATTCCGACAGACGGCGGCTGTACGCCTTAGTGCTTGTGCTGTTATCGTTGCTGCTGCCTTTTTCTGTTCGTTTCGTTCGACCCAATCTTATACCTACCCGCCGATTGTTTAGGGCTCAGATTTCCCATGTCGAGGCGTTGGTGGTTGTTGGCGCGGACCGCATCAACCGTTCGTGGCAATACACGTGCTCATCGAATTATGAATTTATTCGTCTCTCCTTCCGGGTTTTTCGTGCGGTATTCTGGCATCAGGGAATACATTCCGTGGACTATCGGCCTAAGCGGAGGCACCGGTCTGATAGTCGACACGTCGGACTCCGTCTGGGTTCGTCGCACCACGGTGAGTCGCGACAACCTCCCTCTTTGTAGCTGGTGATGGGGCAATATTGATATGGAGCAATGTAAAAGAGCACCGAAATTCCCTGCATCGCACTTCGACGATTGACTTTGACTCGGGGTTTGTGTTGGTCCATCCTTCCTGCACGGTATGGGTGGTATTGCCAACATATATTGTACCACCTGAGCTGTGCCTACATCGCCCCCAGAATCGTCCCGCAGACTGCGGGACAGTAGAGTCTCGCGGAAAGTCTCAGACAGTTCGTGCGCCGGCGAATCGGCTGGGATCGCTACTGCAGTACGGTAGATTCGAACTCGCCGCCAGGAGTATTGCCTCCCCCCTCTCGACATTTTTCGTCAACCGCTCGTGCGCTTGGGTCGGCCGCAATGCGATTCCGTGCAGTTTTACGAGAATGCCGTGGCGGGTCTCCACATAATGGGCTCCAACAACTTTACCTTCGAAGCGACCATCGACAGCGAGGAGGGCTCCGAGGGCGAAGGGAACGTTGGCAGCGTTGACGGCCAACAGCCCATCGAAGTCATCGTCGAAACCTCCAGCCTTGTAAAGTTCCAAGACATGCGGGTCCAGTCGGTCAACGGTGAGCGAGCCTCTACCTAGTGTGTTTGGTGTCTGTGCGTGTTCGGGTGATGGCGACGTTCTCGTAGTCTCGTCAACCATCTCCCACGGAAGACAGCTTAGCGTGGGTGAAGGCATCGTGTGCGCCTTTCTCAGTGCTACAGAATATCGTGGGTTTGGCGTTGCTGAAGCTTGACAACGGTGACTGCGTGGAGCATCTCGCCACGCCGCCTTCGTCATATCCCCTTGTGTTGATGGGGATATTCAATGTGCCTGAATCAAACGGCTTGTTTGGTATTTACACCCCGCCTGAAACCCTGCTGGTTTTTGCCCTTCTCCCATCGTCTCCCGTGCGCAGATCCGGTGATGACCATCACCGAAAGCACGACGGTGTCCTTCACCAACGGCGGCTACTCCAATGTCCCATCCGGCACGTGCACCATTCAGGTGTGTCCGGATGTTTGACCCGTGTAGCCATCGACTAATCAGCAACGTCGAATACTGTGAACCCGATGCTGGGACATGAACGTCGTTGACACGGATCCTTGGTCCAAAATGTACCGATATCCGATAGGAATTGTGCGTGAGACTCCAGCGAGGGTGTCGAGTGGACTGCGTTATCTCCCGAACTGTTTTGACTACTTGCATTGTTCACGCATACCTCACGCACCAGGTACGGCGTCCTTCATTTTCCAACTCACCGATACACAAAAGGCCAGAGCCCTGCAGAACATACCTACGTAGATCGAGTGCACCAAACAGCCCCCCCTACTGGGCGCGAGACATATGTCAGATTTTCTCAAGGAAATCCCGGGTCAAGTGATACATATGCTGTACCTTTCATGTAATCCTCCTCAAACACGGGCCAAATATCCTCCGTTTTTGCTACCCTGTACATCCAAGAACTCAAGCAATACACCCTCTCAAGAACTACACAGTATCCTCGGCGAAACTCTAAAACACCATCTAACAAATTGGCGGCATCTCTGCCATGCTCGTGTACCACGAACGCATCTTTGTTCTGTGGATTGATGATTAGGTCCGTGTGTTGTTCTTCCGACGACATATTAGACTTCCCATTAGCCACCCTTTACCAGAGGACTTGTTGACGTACGTTGATTTTCTTCGATATTTTTCGGGTTCCCAGCCAGCCTAAACGCAACAGCTGTCTTGTGATCCCCCTCGCCATCGTATTGCATGCCCAACAGATTGACGACCCCAGCACGGTGACGATTGACGCCGACGAAGATGAGCTCGTTCTGGAAGGCACGTGCTACGTCAAGGTGTAAAGGCGACGCACATGCCCACGTGGAGAAGCTTCCACCTAGACACTGTCCACCTAGACGTTAAAGGAGTGGTCAGAACTGCTGCAGATTGTTGGGCTGCCGCCCTCCCGGCTTCGGAGGCAGTATGTCCCGTCTTCATCGAAACAGTGTAATCTTCACAATGGGTGTTCGGGGGTGGGCCTCTCTCGTTGTGAAGCTCAAGCTTAGAGATGAGACTCGCAGAGGAGAGTGCCCCCTACGCACGGCACCCAGTCAGCTCACTTGCGTAGGGCTTGCTCTTGGGTCACCTACTTGCAGAAAAGCTTTTTTGGCACGCGCACTCGAACCTGGTATGTGACGAGAGGTAAAATTGCGAACCAGAGCGTGTGTATACTGTGGCTCAGGCGCGCCTGTTGCGATATCCTGGGTCTTTCGCCACGAGTGGCGTGAGTGTGGAGTGTATTCGGCAGGGGACCACCGTCACAGTCTCGCTGTGGGATTACTCTCTTTTTGCTTGGTTTAGAAGTGCAGCTATCTGTGTAGCATCCCGTGATGCTTGTGTTTGGCAGCGATAGAGGAAGTTGCACATGTGTACCGCTGTCCTGTGACTTGTTAATGTGAATTCAATGTTGAGCTGGGAAACGGGTTTCATGTGAAGTTCGAAGCAAGGGTCTCGGAGTGTGTCCTAGTGATATGAAGTATTTAGATGGGCGTGTTGTCCCGGTATTAAATTAGTGAGTCCCCTTTGGGAACCAGCACTACATATCTGCTGTGTTTGATTATTACTCCATCCACAATCGGATAACACGACCATTCACAGAATGATGAACCTTGCTACGTGTACACAATCGCTGATGGTGATCTCAAATGAACCGCTTGGCGGATTCAGTAGCGTGCGGCGGGCGACATACCAACATGCAGGCTACGGGTCGGACAAGACTTGCATGAGTTTTAATGCATCACTCAATGACATACGTTTTTGAAGTTGCTGATTCAGGCATCATCAGTTAATGACATTAGGACCGTTGAATCTGAGAGGTCGCTATCGATGATTTGCCGAAAGTTGTGTGCATCAGATGGTACGGGTTTGAGAGAGCAGGCAGGTGTAACCTCTCTATAACCAAGTAGTACCGATTTATGAGAGCAGGCGTGACCTCTCTTTACCGTACCCGCTAGTAGTGCTGTGAACGTCTGTCTGTGCTGCTTTCTGACGACGTGAGCAACGCCCAGCAGCCACAGGACGTCTTAAAAACATGAACGCCAGCATGAACCTCCTTCATTGGCCCTCGTCGATCCTTGGCGTAAACAGACCAAGGTGTGCGCTTGATATGTCAAAAACATCGATCACATAATCTCAAACTCATTCCTGCACGAGGAAATGTGGGACGAAAGAACTCAAAACACAGGTTGGCCCGAGGGTAGGCTTAACGGCAAAGGTAAGATAGAACTATCAGACGCAACGAGTCTAGGAGTGCTTACAGGCGGGGCAAGATGAGGAGACCCAACAGGTCCCGGGAATCGATCAACCTTGGTGACAGCTTTAAGATAGATGTTGTTCGAAGAAAGTTACAACCCGCTGGCGTACGGGATGAGTGGACTGGGTTAAATTGTCTCACGTGGAAAGAATGTGGGGAGATTTGACCCCATTTTCAGAATCAATCACCTGTAGGCTGTGTGGAACTCTCTTGTCCGACAACAGATGCAGGTTGTTGCTGCTTTCCGTTCTCTTCTCTTGATGAACGATTTCCCAGGCCAACGCACACAGATCCCAAGCACATACGATCAACCCGATCGCACGCACACTGAACAGAAGGGCACATGCCTCGGCATAAAGCCCCTATCTTGAATGGCGTAACGTCATAGCATCTGGTAACGCCACTAACCATGATCAAACACGATCACATGTCCTCCTCCCAATGCCATAACACAAGCGCACCCTGAGTGGACGTATACAATGCAGATGCAGAAGCAAGCCTCTGAGGGGCTCTACATCTCCATCAAGAGGTTTAGGGGATGGATCGAAGATGCGAAACTCAAAACCCTCACCCGCACCTCCAAACAAAATAGGCGGAACCAAGAGAGAGGAAAACAAAGGAGCCGTGGGCAGCCTAGTCGGCGGCGGGTACAATCGGGAAAAGGCACACGGGGTGCGAAAAATAACCAGACCATCCGAACTGAAAATAGTATAACACGAAGCAACGAACTCACGAGGGGAAAACCTCAGGGAAAGGGGGGCTACGATGCGATTGAGTACAGAAAGGGAAAAAAACACGAAATGAAGACCTAACCTGTCGCGGCATGCGAACGGCAAGGAAATGGACACACCCGGAAACCCATCAATGGTGACAAAATCGAGAAATACTCTGTTAGTTATTCCGGTCCTATACACTAGGAAACGATGTAAAGAAATATCCGACTACGACTGACGAAATACCCCGAGAGAAAAGCTGCGAACAACACACATACAAAAGCCTCGGCACGCTTCGTGTGGAAATATCGAAACATCCTCCTAAAAGTCATGATATATATATATAATATATATGCATATTAAGCTCTCCAGTGTTCTACCCCATGGCCGACATGCATGGCTGCTACATGTACATATACTCAAGAGTAAAGAACGGTTCGGAATCAAATCAGGTTCGGAGTATCGTCAACCCTTCAACCAGTATTGTTGAAAGAGGAAAGTTCGAAGAAAATGATTGCGCTACAAGCCACAATAGTGCGGCCCGCCTCATCTGGCCGCGGTACTCTCAGGCCGCGACTCTATCGTCACGCGCACAATTGTTCTTTGCTGTCCCTTCACACACTCTCCTTCTCTCCCTCTCTCTCATCAGGCTAGACCTTCACACATCATTCAGGCCTTCTTTTCTTGACACAGGGTTTTTCCTCTGCAGATTTGTGACATACCCACGAGTTCGACTGACGACAGTGGCAGTAGAAACCAGATTTGCAGATGATGCGGGCCGGACTTGCTGCCGTGCTGTGGGCTTGCTCTGCCAGCCTCTCCAGGTTCGCGGACGCCGCCATAGTCGAAGCTTCCACCTTGGCAACCGTCACCGCGGTGGCAGATCTGTACGACCCGAGCCTCAGCGCTGAGAACGGATGCGATCCGTCAGGATGTGTCGCCGAGCTAACCAGAGTAAGTGAAAGTACAACAGCGATCGCATCACAATGGAGACGGGGTAACTCCGACTTCAATTCTCTGCAATAGTATTGTTGGTTGGTTCTCCTCTCGCTCCTGCACGCTGACAAAGCGGTAGCTACCACCAGTCAGGCATGCCGCACATGCACGGTCGGCATCTTGTCGTCGGGATCTTGTTGTGCGTTTCAGGACCATGCGGTTGCCATGCTACAGTGGTCCAAGGATCCTCCACTACAAAGTATATTTTCCAGAAATTTGGAATGTATAAATCGTCCTTATAATCTGCACCAGTCGAGAGTACATCTCGGCGCCTGCGGGAAAACATCCAGCTGCTGAAAAACTTCGATGAGTCCGCGCGTCTGTACCGTCTGTCTGCAGGAACTTCAACATTTTGCGGTGTCCTGTATAAATTTATCCTGGCGGAAAATAAATAGCCAACCAGCGTACCTTCTTCGGAGGTGCATGCAACATCCACATCCAGTAGCTGAAAATCTGGGGCATGAGTCAGCGCGCTGAAACACCCCGCCCGATCTTGACAAAACGCATCGAGTGTGCGCAAGACTGCAGGAATTGGCCAATCAATCTCTCCTCCATTCTACTGCTGTAGTTTTCAATAACAGAGTATTGGTAGTGGTCGTAACCACCAGTAATTTATTGTCGCAGAGACTTCATCTTCCTCATCGAAGTGCAGCATGGACCAGCATCTTCAAATGCATGGGCACGACCTGGCACGATATTCTTTCGAAGAAATTGTTCATTTTCTCTGACATAAATTATCTCCGATTTTTCCGATTTTGGGTCGATGCCGCACCCACCCCAGGATGGCGACGTGACATCTCTTGAATCCCGCTGGTCATGCCAGCCCGCCCTTGGCGATGCCGGCTCGGAGTGTAGGATCACATACGGCCTCGGCATCCAGTACCAGCTCTCCGCTGTGAACATTGGTACGTATGGTGAATGTGCACATAGATCTCGGTCTTGGTGTGCATTCTCGAGACTACTGCCTGTAGTCTAATGCTGAGATCTCGCTTATCGTGTGATAATGATGTTTCCTTGCCTGTTACAGCCCAAATTCTTGTGATGGTTGTAAAAACTCCGTTGTTATTGCGGTGTCGTCGTGGTTGTTTTTCGAGAGTGTAGGCTAATTCCTTATTTTGTGGGGGGCAAGGGTATCATAAATACATCCCATGTACGTACGGTAGATTCAAGCGAAATTGTTTGTCATGATAAAAAAAAAATGTTATCTCTGTCATTCCTTTCGATCTTGCTTTACCGTCCGTGCCGAGCGGTGGGCTCTGTGTATCGATCCATCGATCCCCTTCCTCTATCGATCTTATGGCATGGCACCTCCTGCAACGTCTGATTGTCTGGGGAGATTGTCGGTGAATTGTGTACGTATGGCGATCGTGATAGTTTTTCTATTGCAGTGCATCACGGGCACACAACGGAGCTCATAGTTTGGGACGTGGGTTCGAATCTCGGTGCGGTCAGACGAACTGGAATTTTTGACAACAAACCACAAAACCGCGCAAAAGAATATTTCGGGTGCATGCCAATATCGGACCTTCGCCGTCGATGAGGGTATGGGACGGCCGAATCCGTCTTGCAACATATACCAAGGCAAGCACCGCAGAAGGAAGGCGGAGGAAGATTCCTGTGTGGTTTTCGTTCCGGGTTACCTCGGCTGATGCGCCCAGTCTTGTACCGGAAGGTGCAAGGACCTGGTTGTTTACTGCGGTACCCGCTCGAGGGCAGTTGCTGTTTGCCTGTGATTGTGCGACTACGGAAGGTTGTTCCACATCCAGATGCCCTGTCCCTGGCCGCAGGAACTCCACGACGAGTGAAATTCATACCTAAACTCTACTCGCTGTGTGGCCATCACTCGCAGCGATGTACAAGGGTGACGAGCGGACAAGGACCCTCGACATCAGCATCGACAACCTCCCGTACACTACCTGGACCAGCTCGGGCACGACCACTGGTTACGAAACCATTGAACTGGATACTATGGCGCAATGGATCTCTGTTGTCGGTGTTCTCGAGGACTCCGAGTGGCTCAGCATCATGGAGGTTCGTTTGTGTGTTGGGGCATCTCTGGCCACTGGTCGTGTGTCAGTGTATGTTACCTCAGTCCGTGGTTTTGTGAGATCTGTACACTTGGCACGCTCGCACGCCTACCTTCACAGCCTTTTTGTGAGTGTCGTCTCTTCAGCTTTTCCAGCGCTTTGTGCAGTTTGATGCGTGCCTGAACAATACATATCATATTCTTTTCGCTTTGTTGTCGTGTTGGAACAGGTAGAAATTATGATCGAAGATGGTGAGTCAGGCTCTGACGATGGCGACACCACCGCGACCGACGCGGGTGATGATGACACCACGACCAGCACGTCTGCCGTAGAAGTTGGTTCCCTGGGTGCGGTGACGGTCGAGGCTTCCTTCTATGACCCCAGCCTGACCGTCGATGGTGGATGCGACCCGAGCGGATGCGTGGCTGACAACACGAGGGTAGGTTGTCGCCACCGATCTACTACTGCTGTGCAGTATGCATACGGTGCTTCTCCAATGGCCGCCGCTGTTCTCGGGAACCGTAACCTCACCTTTGGCAAGGTGTTGGGAGTATTAACAAGCTGCAAGTGTTTTTATCCTATGTTGCGGTTCGGGGTCAATAGGTGTCCGAGCAAGTTGGAGGTACTTTTAATCGAACGTGAATCTCGTCGCCAATGATTCGTTGTCCATCCTGCAGGATGGGGACCTTTCCACTGCATCACGCTGGAGCTGCGCCCCCACGCTCGGCGGCGAATGTACTATTTCGTACGACCTTGGGACCGTGTATGAGCTCGATGAGCTCCGTCTAGGTGAGGGTTCAATCGAGGCAAGATCGCTGGTGATGCTATATTTTCAATGTTTACTAGCAGCGCATGGATCGAACAAACATCGATGTTGACATCGCACGTCGAACTGCCATTTTGGCGTCGTACGAGTACGCGTGTTGTGAGACCGTCGATGCTCCCCTCTCTCACGGTCAAGTATCATCGCTTGGAATCTCTCGAGCATGCCACTCTGCGTATGCCCGTTGGTCGAAACCCCTCTGGCGTGGTCATGCGCTCCCTCCCCCGTCCATGGCTGCTATTCTGAACCCGCCGTTATCCCTTGTCCATCGCCCATTCGAACCGCCATTCAGCCATGTACAAGGGCACTGAGAGGCAGGTAACTATGGAGGTGAGGGTTGACGACACGCTTGTCACTACCTGGACCAGCTCCGGCACGACGGATGACTTGGAGGCCATCGATTTGTCGGGCACTTCGGGCCAGACGGTGGAGATCACGGGCGTCCTGGACGACTCGGAGTGGCTCAGCATCGTCGAGGTTCGTTGGTGTGATGGTGCAACAGGTGCTGCAAAAGTGGTATGGGTGTCCGTTTGCCCCTTTTGTTTTCATTCTCAGGCACATATGCACTCGTTACGCTTCCACGCCAATCTCCGCAAACGTCCGTGAGAGTGCCGCGCAATGTCAACGGCATGTCCGACTTTTCTCGTTATCTTGCCGGCACTTTGTGCGTTTCCCATCCGCAGAGTTGAACGATTCTAAAGTTCGCTTCGTTTCGTTCGTCTTCGGACAGGTGGAGATCATGGTCGAGGACGGTGATCAAGGCTCGGGCGATGACGACACCACGACCAACACATCTGCTGTAGAAGCGAGTACTCTAGGCTCGGTGACGGTTGGGGCTTCCCTCTACGATCCCAGCCTGGCCGTCGATGGCGGATGTGACCCGAGCGGTTGCGTTGCTGACAACACGAGGGTAGGTTGACACCGAAGTGCTGGTGCTGCATAGTCCGATGTTTCTTCTCCGACGGCTCCTGCTATTTCACGAGTAAAGAGACGCCCAACGCATTCAAATCTGAAACCTGTGCGATGCTTGAAAATGGCGTAAGGTTTCTTATGATCCCCATGCGTTGGCTTCCGTCCCCCATGGCGAAAGAGACCGATCCTTTCGCGAGCTGTTTATTTGGAGTTTCACTTTTATTGTTTCCGTTTTGCCTACTATTGTTGACGTACGTATGCCAATACGACTTCTTCGGAAGTAGTAAGACGACCTCCAATCACACGCTCGAAACACTCTACACCAACGGTTCGTTATCCATCCTACAGGATGGAGACCTATCCGCCGCATCGCGCTGGAGCTGCGCCCCTAAGCTCGGCGGCGAATGTTCTATTTCGTACGACCTCGGGACCGCGTATGATCTCGATGAGGTCCGCCTAGGTGAGGGTCAACCAAGAAGAGTGCCGTGGTGTTGCTTGTTCGTTACCGACTAGCGCAAGGATCGAGCCGCATACGGTTGTGATATTGCTGTTTCCTCTGAGCACATGCGCAAGCACTGTGAAGTCTTGCGGGGCACCGTTCCCCGCTGTCCAGCAGCATGTGGACGTTGCTCTGAACCGGTCATTTGTCCTTGTCCCAACCACCATTCAGCCATGTTCAAAGGCACTGAGAGGCAGGTGACAATGGAGGTGCGGGTTGACGATGCGCTTGTCATTACCTGGACCAGTTCGGGCACGACGGATGGCTTCGAGGCCATCGATATGTCGGGCACATCGGGGCAGGTATTGGAGATCACTGGTGTCCTGGACGACTCTGAGTGGCTCAGCATCATCGAGGTCAGTGCTTCTCATTCGCGCTGCAGCGTGGCACATTGGAGCACATGCAAGCGGGCACAACCAACTAGTCTAGAGTGCCCCTGGGTTTTTCGGAGACTCTCATTTTTTTTCGCCCAATGTGCTTGACAGGGACTATGTATTTATTGTTTTAGAGTGGGGTGCAAGTTCTTTCGTTTTCGAAAAGGCTGCACTCTAATGCCATTGGTACAAGGGTATTCAGTAAGAGGGCACCCTCATTCGAACTTCAAGGGACGGGTGAGTTTGCGGTACCACAACACCTCAAGCTCTGGTGGACCTGCCGCCTTACCTCTTGCCGCTGCCGTCGGTGTTGACAATAAGTATTTCTCCGTAACTCTTTCCGTCTTAGCCAAGAATGGATGTGCCCTGGTAATTTTTCTCGTTGTGGCGGCCGGCGTCGGCCCTTGGTATACCGGTTTCATCCTCCTCTGGTCAGGCGGAAATCATGTTGCTGGAAGACGGAGCAAGCCCTACGCCGACAACTCCTACCCCGTCGCCCGCAACGCCCAGTCCTGCGACGGCTCAACCCGTCACGTCCACCACCGGAACTCTGCAGCCTGTGGGTCTTATTCCCTTGGCCAGTACTGGCGGGACCAGCCTCGAGAAGTACCACATCAAGGTACGTCGTCGTTGAAATTCACCTTGATAGTGTCGGTAGATGCGCTCGCGCGTGTGGTTGGGGAATGACAACCCAGCGTTGTCTAAAGGGTGTTGCATTGCCTGCGTCAATCGCGAAAAGAGTGACATGAATCTCCAAACCTCCGCTGTTGTAGGATCAATGCTTCAAAGACCTGGGTGCAAACTATCGCGGGGGAGCGATATTTACGGGCGACAGACAATGCGTCATTGTCAGCTCACCTGATGCACTCACTACCTGGCCCTCGAATTCGCTGGTTTTCCAAGCTGCTCCCTCGGACCGCCTTCGCGGGAAATTAAGTCTTTTTAGGAAATAGAACAGGGAGGGGGTACGCAGACCCTATTCCCTAGCCCTAAACCTATCTCAACCTCCCCGATTGTATGCTTTATCCAGCATGTTTTCTTAACACAAAATATCCTGCGAAGGCTGCTCCTTCACATACCGCTCTTCTGCGGTGCATTACTTGACCGTTTGTTTCGTATTAACAAGGACGGGGACATGTCGACTTCCTGGACCTGCTCCGGCGACCCTCAAGAGGCCGATGACCCCTACTACGACTGCATCCTCCAATTCAACATGTTCTCCCACCGCCACATCAAGCAGGTCAAGATCGGTGAGACGGGTCCGCTCGACCTACCAGAGAGTTGCACGGCAGGCTTCGTGTATGGACGATGTTGAGTGGATACTCGCTACAATGGTTGCGCGCCGTGCCCTGCTCCTATCCGCCTTTTGTTTGCTCCCGGTTGGTGTTTTTTGCTCCCCACTTTGAGGATACTCTAAAGTAAATCATCTACGAAAGGACGACCGCCAGACACAGTAACGCGACAGGTTACGTGTAAGGAACGATGTTGAGTGGTACAGTGCTTCCCCTAAGACTATTAACGTACCCTTGCCGTGCTCCGATCCGCCGCTTTTTTGGACCTCCTTCTTTGTTGCGAAGCTCTGCCCGATGGCGCCGAACGTGCCGTGGACATGAGGATTGCCGCCCCGTACGACGCTAGCGTGAGTCTCCGGAGGTTCGCGGCGTGTAACCTCGAAGCCTTGCTGTTCCGAACCTTTTCGCTGGACTTGTTATTCATCAGTCAGGAGTCGAGTGCTTGCGATTCTGACGCATGCGTACCGCCGTGTGCAACATCCTTGATGACAGAACGATGCAACATATTTCTCCCGCGGCATGTTTGTTTCTTGGTGGGGGTCGGCATCTTTTGTCGGGATACTGTAGTCGTCTTGTGAGGAAATACCGTCCTCCTGTGAAGGCTAAACCCGGCCCAATTGTTGGGTTCTCGAGCACCAGAACGAGGCAGACGTATGGTTACCTGCACTTGCCCACGTGGGCGGAACGCCGCGGGTGTGGTAAGGCCTTTCTGAACTCTGCACGTACTCGTGAATAGCGTACGGCTCATCTATAGCTGCGGGATCTGCCACTTGGAGGGCTTGCAAAACCTCGAGCGTACCTGGAGATGGCGTCCACGATGATACACTATTCGTGGTCCTTTGTTGGACTGCGGCAACTAGTGACGTTCTATCCCCCTCACATGGCGTTGTGCTTTGCATCGGCAACGAAAAAAAACTTTTCTCGTGTTCTGCGCAGTTTGGGGAGGTGTTCGTCACGAGTTCGGGGACCACGGACGGCTTCGAAACGTTCGAGTTCGACTACTTCACGGATGTCGTCTCTATCGCCGGAGTGTTCACAAGCGGCGGCCAGTCTATCAGCATCTCGGAGGTCGGTGTTGGCTCACAGGGAGTAGCTGACTCAGCACGTCGTCGCTCTATACGGCTGCGGCGGCCTCGACACCATACAAACTCAGATGGTCTTGCATGACTTTCTGCACTTCGTCCCCCTTCCTTAGTTCGGAATGGCCAGAAACCAGTGTTGGGTGCCCGGAAACACCGGGTCGCAGGACGGCTCTGTATTGACTTTGACGTCTTCCTCGACAGCGTGCGTCATGGCGTCTCTCCGCAGGAGCAAAATAGAGATGATCGTGGCGAGGAGTGTGGGTGGTTTCCATCCCCTTGTTGCTTGCTGAGCAAGTAGATCGTTCCCTGATGGTACCAGAGTCACATGCGGCCATTGGGGTAATTATCCCTGGTGATTGCTGTCGGCGAGGTCGTCCTGTAATAGACAAGACCGGGGTTTCAACGAGTTTTGGAAGTGGGCCTTTTGTGTATAACAGCAGCGTCCATTCGCTTGATCCCGAACAGGTTATCTCAGGTTAACCTCACGTGTCGGCTGCTGTGTTTTGTTTTGTTTCTGCAGGTGGAGTTTGTCGAAGAGATCCAAGACGGCGAAGTGTCCGTCGTCGACTTCGACGCGCCGTACGACAACGGGGACGGCCTGTGGACCGTAAGTGCCCCAGTTCTGCTGCCTGTCTGCTGTGTTATATGTCGCCGTGGCTTGATCGAAAGACGCATAGAATGTGGATGAGCGACGTTATTGAGCCAAACGCTGTCTTTCGTTGCAAGGTTTTAGTACCTTTCCGTCTGCGAGGATCGCAAGTTGGAGGACCTGTCGAATCTGTGCTTGCACAATGGACCACCCAGGCATACACACACGAAGGAAGTCATGGTTAGGGCTTAATCAAACTGAATAGCGATGTGGAAATTTGTCACAGTTTAAACCAAGATCATGGCGTGAGTCGTTGCCACCGAGTCATGCTGCATGCAATCGTTGCTATCTCATGTCACCCTGCGCAATTGCTCTATGCGCATGTAGGATGAGCTGCTTCAAAGAAAACGTCATTTGGCTCTGTTTGAGAATGAGAAGCGTGGCGATCGTCTCAGCGCATTAGACAACATTGTGACCGCAACGCTTCCGGCTAATCGTAATCAGGGCGCCACGACCGACGCCTTCGAGTGGTCTTCCGAGTCCGACGAGGCCATGGACCGGACGTTGTCGTTCGTCCTCAACTCCTACGCTCTCATGGAAGCCGTCGAGCTGCAGTTCCCCGTGGGAGAGACCTACAAGTTCGAATTGACGCTCTACGACGACGGAGACGAGATCGTGTCCACCTTTACCGTGAGAGCTCGTGTAGGAGGTTGTCGGTACAGTCGCAGTACTTCTACTTGTCGAAGATGTGACCAAGATGTCGCCCTTGTTATTCTAACTATATGTTTTATCCGTCGATGTCAATTCGAAGTGATACGCGAGGCTAAGGGAGGCTGCCGGTCCCTCCCGTTTCCTATTTTCAGTTTAGTTCCTGTTGGTCGTGTTAGAAGAACCATATTTGAAGAGTGAACCGCAGTGACAATCCGACAGGCTGCTGCACGTGCCCGGTACGTCACAAGGATCAGTTCGCAGTCAGAACGCCCAGCAACCCATGCTCGCTATGCCTTCACCGCCAATCCGTCGCAGGGGTTGGAAAGTGTGGATTCCGAAGGATGGCAGCGCTTCGAACTTGGCACCATCGACGATCCGGTCACCGAGGTCACCATCATCATGAAGGGGACGGGCTCGGGGGCGCCGGGGTTCAAGCTCGCGAACGCCCGCTTCTTGGGCACCGCAATCGACAACCCCAGCAACACCTTCTACGTGAGCGACTAGGCCTAGAGCATAGTACTGTTACGTGTTCAGGGCGGGAAGGATGTTCAGATTCGAGGCACCGGTGGTAGCCGGCAGATGTAGCTGCAACGTGTCGCAATCAGTTGATACCTGTGCACTGTTTGATCCACACCGTTTGCCTTGTCGAGCGGTTTCTCGATGGCCCACCTGTCTGCCTTCGCCACTTCCTTGGTGTCAACCTATCATCACGACCCCGCTATGTTCTTGTAGGTGGGCTCCACGTACGTTGAAAGCTGGAGAAGCGACAGGTACCCGGACTTCGTGGCTGAGGGCACCGGAGACCAGAAGGCCATAATGGGCGCTATCTGTGCTGTGAAGAAGGCTTCTTTCGACGGTGTGGACTGTGTCGGCGGTGATGACGCTGCCACGGGCGAGGTAAGCATGTTTTGTGCTTAGCGCTGGACGGCATCTGGCGCCGTATTTCTCGTGTGGACATCGCGGTCAAGCTGGAAGGGCTTCTTGCGCAAATTGGTTTCGCTCCTCTGTTACTCGAGCCTAACCCCCAATGCACCAGACTGATTTTTGCAGCAGATGATACCGGTGTGGTCGTATATCTCACATCATCGTCTGTGTCATTCTCCTCTGCACGGTTTCCTCACGGGCAATTGCTTTCTTTGCCGGCGAACGTATCAGGTAAGCATGCCCATGGGCGAGTGGTTCGTGGACGGCAACATCTTTATGAAGTCGGGAGTCTACCTCGATGCCAGGTACGGCAAAGTTTGGGATAACAGCTCAGGTTCGGCTTTGCGGGATGCGAATGCGACGTGCCGTGTCTGTCCATACATGTGTCCATTGGAGTTCCCGAGAACCGGAGACCACCCAGAAGTAGATCGAGTGACGTTCTCGAGCAGCCTTCGCGCTGGCCGCTACCGTTGACAATTGAATCTCTTTTCCTGCCGTGTATTTTTGGCAGTTTCTCCATTGACGACTCCCCGTACACGACCGACATCATCCTTGAAGACGGGGCGGCGGGAAAGACGGACACTGCCGCCATTATCGTTATGGACGGCATATCCGACGCACGGGTGTGTGCATGATAAGCTCAACCAAAATCACCTATCCACCTTTCCACTTCTCACAAAACCTGACCGCTCTATGGCTTGGCCAGATAGATGATCACGGGGGCGTAAGTGCATTTTTTTTTGTCTATGTCTGTTGCTACAAAGCCTGCCGAATCTATTCCAACTCTCGGCATCACCACCAACCAACAGATACCACCCAAAACGTCTAGAATTCAAGGTGGCCGTGTTTTCTGTTTGCTTGGTACTTGATGGAAGAGTAACACTAATGTACGAACGTTTAACTTTTTGCGCTCGCGTGGAACAGCTTTCAGAGGTGTGGATCTACGGCCATTACGACAGCGAGACCAGCAACGACACTCCCGCCGTGGATGGCCTCGGGTCTGTAGGCCTCTCCATTACGGGCTCCACGGTGAGCACAGCGTGACCTGGCAGATGATGGGATGAGAGCAAACATTCGTTGCTTCAAATGCCGAACCACTCTGTGTGAATGATATTGCGGATGCATGTCTCTTGCCATTTGATCTGGTGCGCGTGCCCTCGCCCTTCCGGGAGGTCGATTGTGTAAAGCTGTAGCTCGTCCTGTACCCGCCTGAGGTCACGTTCAGGAACACAGACGAACACATTTCGCCGCCAGAAGAAGCTTGTTTGATTTCTCTGCTATCGGCACCTACCTACCTTGCAGTCCAGATTCGATCTAATTGTAGCCGCCGATATGAGTTGTTTGTGTTCACCAAAGCGAAGACGGATCATTCTTGCCCAGAACACCACTTTGCGAACACACCAGTGCCCGCATCGGCTGCGTTCCCGGTACTTCGTTTTCACCGTGGGAACGAACCCGTGCTCTTTCGTTTCCAGAACATCACTTGCAGATACGCCAGCGTCTACTCCAGCGACGGTGACGCCCTCGTCGTGCGCGACTCCGAAATGGTCAACATCGATGCTGGGCCCTACGACGAGTGAGTGAATGACAAGCAATAGTTTTCGCTTCTGATTCTATTGGACATGGCGTTAGCTTCAGTTGACGGCACAGGCTACGCGTGTACCCGTACGGTGCCGGCCCGCTCGTGATCAACACACTCACAAGAAACCCAGGCTCAGACGTTCGAAGCCACCAAGGAACCTGGCACTAAATCAGAGGCATATAATTTACCCTATGCTCAATCGTTGAAACACAGCAAAGCCTTGCCAGAAATAGTGGTGTCATTGGAGTGGCCTGGCAACGCATCGAATGTTGACGTTGTTTGCGGATGCTACGATGGACGTTAAACCCGACCACCAGTCGCTCGTTCTCGGTACGGCAATAGGTTTGTGCTCGTGGCGCCACGCACACAATGGTCGCGACCGACACAGCCCGGAGAGCCCTCGCTGAATGTTTACGATCTCCCGACCCTGCAGCGGTTTGCCATTGAACGCATCCTCTCCCCAACGGAAATGGTGCTAGTGATTTCCTTTCCTTTGCCCGTCGCAGCCTGCTTGCTCGTACTGGCGTCAACTATCGGCCATCGTTTCGCCCGTCGTCTGCGTCGTGGTTAGCAACGTGACCCCGTTCCCTGCATGTTTGGGCGTTTCTCGTACGCGAACGTGTCTTCCCCCAACTTCAGGGAGTACCGTCCTTGGACTATCGGCCAAAGCCGTGGCACTGGGATAGTGGTCGACTCGTCGGACTCTGTCTGGATTCGCCGCTACACTGTGAGTGCCCTTGGGAAATTTGTCCTGAATGACAGACGATGCCAGGGGTTTAGCTGCAGCTGGCGTTTGTCTTTGACTCGATGCACCGACCAATAACTAACCAAGAAGATATCAAACCACTGGACAGTCAGCGCTGACTAGCTAGTCTAACGAATTGGCTTCGGTTTCTACAATACGCGTATTACGATGCCCGCAAAATACTGATCGTCAGTGTGCCTCGTGGGACTGCGCGGCTTCGTGCCGGGCGTAGTTTCCTTTGAGGTGTGAGATATATATGGGCGCCCGCCTACCCCCATCCATTGCAGGAGGACTGCACTTCATTGGAACCCGACCATATGCTCTTGTGCCACGTATGCAGACATCCGACAACGGCATAGCCGGCATCCACGTCTCGGGTTCCAACAACTTCACCTTCGAGGCCACAATCGCCGACGAATGCTGGACTGACGACTGTGTGCTCGAGGGCGAGGGCAACGTTGGAAGCCTGGACGGGCAGCAGCCTATCGAGGTCATCGTCGAGAGCTCCACTCTCGTCAAATTCCAAGACATGAAGGTCCAATCCGTCAACGGTAAGCTCCCGTTTGTTACTAATTGCTACATACAGTAGTCGGCACACGTCTCTTTTTCCACACACGTCTCTTTTTCCATACGCACACGTCTCTTTTTCCACACACGTCTCTTTTTCCATACGCGTACTTGTATGGAAAACTTTTTCCATACGCGTACTTGTATGGAAAACTTTTTCCATACGCGTATGGCACTTTTCTTATTGATAGCATTTTGTATGGAAAACTTTTTCCATACGCGTATGGCACTTTTCTTATTGATAGCATTTTCCTCCCGTCAACCTGCATCGTCATTCCTTGGGCATTGGTCGTTTTTTGAGCAACTGACGGTCAGAACCATTTATCCTGGCATGGCTCCCGCCGAGGCTGCTACTCGTTGCGACGAGTCTTCCGCAACACTGACCCATATACCAAATATTGAAAAACCGGCACCTTTTCTCGGGCGCGCAATCTACACTACACAGACCCGGTGATGACTGTGTCCGGCAGCTCTGGGGTGTCGTTCGACAACTGCGGTTTCTCCAACGTCGAAAGTGGCACATGCGTCATTCAGGTAACTTTGTTTTGAGGATGGCAACCACAGAAGCGAAGGGCTAGAGACAGATATTGGGCAGGTTTTTTGTCCCTGCTATGGCTCTCGAACGACTTCGAAACAAGTGGCGATCAGCGCAACTGCACACGAAGCATGCCCTCGCCTCCTGTCAAGAGTGCTGGAAACTCACGGGATGTGTTCGGTTTTGCGAAGAGACGAAAACTTGTCCTTGACCACTTGCGAGAACGAGCGAGGTCATGGCCTGTACCCAGTGCAATCGGTGCATACGCTATGTAGAATCTGACATGAAATCTCCTTACTTCATACGGAATTTCTTGTGGGTTGTCTGCTGTGTTTGGTGTAGTGATGCTGAACTGACGTACCGCCACGCACGAGGCGAAATGCCAACGTGTGCGATAAGCTACTCGGCTCGGCTGAAGAATAACCCAAACCCTTGCCTCATTTTCAACGAACCATCGAAATTTCACGGGTCAATAACCTCATCTACTCTTCGAGTGGAGACTTTGGGCCATTATTTAGCTTGCACCTAATACTTTGAAATTTCTGTTTACGGCGTAGGCTTCTGTATACCTGACGAACAGATTAATACCTTACCCAAAGTGCCCGCCTCTTTCGACAGCACCGACCACCCACCCACCCCTTTTTGCTCGTTGTGTCCTCATTTTTGTCGAGTAGACTGACGCCACCAGCGAGGTAACGACGGGTGATGACCCGGAGCTCAGCCTCGACGGCACATGCTACGTCAAGGTGTGAGAACGGACGACTAACAACGTCGCAGAGGGGAGACCGAAGCTCTCATTTCGATTGGCGCGCTTCAAAAGGGGATTGGTTAAACCAGTTGATGCTTCAATGGGGGTTTGATGTATAGGAGGGTCCCTGTGCGCGTTGAATGTACCCCTCCGTGTGTTTCTGTGTAGGTGCAACTACATACTGTTGAAATGTCCGTGTGAAATGATCAGCATCGATGGATGCTGTCCTCTGCTAGAAGCACGCCTGGTATGGAGCGTGTACAAGTATATTGGGATCGATGGTGTATTGTATGAATAGAACCCACGGTACTTATCAGCTGGTCGTCGTTCTACAACTGTGCAACCATTTTTAAATGAAGAAGTGGTATTGCTTGTCGCTGATGTACATGCCATCCTGGAGGATTTCATGGGGACGCCCTGATTCGGACAGGAGTGAGTGTTGTTCGTCACACCGTCAAGCAGTCAAAGCCAAGCAGGCGCCAGTGGCACTTGATTGCCCGCTGAGCTAAACTGGCTCGGCTTTTCTTGGTCGGTGCAAGGGGATGGGGTAGTGTGAAGGAGTCCCTAGCATGTGTACGTTCTCGATATGCGCCGTATGTAGTAGCATTAGGCGATGTCTGTGACAGACAGACTAGAAAATCGTTTTTTTCGATGGTTATTGTGATGGCCGCACATAGAAGTGTGTTGGTCGAATCTCGGAAGATGTGGTTCGGTCACGGCGCCAATATGCGCCTAGTGTAAGATGTTGTCTTTCTTGCTTGTGAAGGGTCGTAGCGAATACAAGGGCACGCGATGAGAATATTTTGGGTCAGATTTTTTCCGTCAACCGTCTCAGACGAACGTTAACAATGGTTCTGGCCACTTCTCAAGGCCCGTTCGGTTGAAGGTGTTTGTTGCAGCTCGATCGAACAACAATGGTTTCACGGGGGACGGTTCTACGCAACCTCTGTTTCGACAAATAACGGCACATAGAATGCTTGATTCTTCCTCTCGTCTCATGCACGCTTTAGCGACAACATCTCAGGGGTGCCTCCACGCGCAAGCCCTCGCTACTAGCTATCCCGCAAGTTCCCTTGTGTTTCGTCCCTCAATTTGATCAGGGAGGGCGAGGCTTGACCGTGGATTTTCCCAACTCCTGCGTACAAATGTTTTTCTCTCTAATGTTTTTTTCTGTTGGGGGTTGGCGTTGGTACCTGGCCCTAATTTATACTTCAGCCTAGACCCATGTCCGGAGTGAACACAACAGGTTGACGGGGATGTTATCAGGCAACTCATTTTCCCGAGGGCAAAACCTGTACCACTGAATAGCGGAACCAAAGCAGCACATGTGGCGAGCAATTTCGCATCGGCGACTATATGGCTTTAACCACGGCCCACCAAGTCGGCCACTACCAGCCTCGCTTTCGCTTTCCCCGATTGTGGATCAGGGCTCTTTTCCATAATAGAGCCTTGAGTTTCGCAATCCGAAAAAAATGTGCACGAGCGTAGTGATCGAGCAGGATTGGTTAGTGAATTTTTCGGTAACGCCAGACGACACCGCACAAAATGCTCAAAATGCTTCGAAACCACCGTCACTGCTTTCGTACGGCTCTCAGCTGCGGGACATGCCCAAATTCGTCCCATAGGGACCGGTGGTTGCCGAGATATGGACCAATATTTTGTCACTACTGCTGTTTGGGGTGGTCTCCAAGCACAACACACATATGAACGAAATAACCGGAGCCCCGGGGAGTGTCGTTTTCATCCCCGCTTCTTGCGGCAATTTACGCATTTACAGGCAGGTAAAGCCAATTGCTGGTTGACGGAAATTTCCCGTCTGAAAAGGTCTAACCCGGCAAATGTACATACCTGGATCTCGTTTGGTCATATTTACGGAGATTGAAGGCCGCTGTTACCGCCTACGATGTTTTTAGGGGGTTGAGGGGTTATGATGGGGTTACCGTTGGGTTAGAGATCCGAAGCCCCCCTCTCTATTTCATAGATCATCGCTAATAACTGGCCCGGCTAAGTAGGGCCACCTCCAACCCGAGGTCTGCTTTCCTCTGAACCCGAGTGAGGCGTTGGTTACGACGAAGTCTTGTCCAAATTGAACGGCACGAGACTTTCTTGCGTTGCGCGAACTGTCGGCGAGCGGAGTAGTTAAGCTACTCCGCGTGGCATTTCTGTCAAATGACTTGCGGAATTAGCCGAGATGGTTCTACAATAATCGTGGTCATCATCGTGCTCGTTGGTGAAAACTTCGCGCACCCTCCCACTTGTCTGCAGCGTCGGCTTGTTTTGCCCGTATGTCAATTGGCTAATAGATATGCCATGTGTCATGTATGTTTGATGCTTGTACGGTAGTTTTCTTGTGGTATGTAGAGCTCCGCATGCATGTTGAACGACGGTGTCATCAACAGCGTGCGGGTCGGAAACTGCTTTGACGGTGCATACGTTTCGAAGAAATGTGATTGGGCGGGAGCGCAAGGTGGGTTGACCGATGATATTTTCTTCGCCTGTCACAGTTGGTGTAGGGTATTTCTCAGATTACCGCCGATCTGTTGTGAATATACATATTCAAGAGTATTGTGCGACTGGAGTCCTGAAAAGGCAGATTTTTTGCTCCAGATGCACATCGGTTCCCTCGACGAGGAAGTCGAGGAGGTTCCTCGAAGCTGACAGTGAAACATGTTTTGGGCAATGCCCCCCCTGCGATACAACGCCATTAATTCGATCGAACAAGGGAGATATGCATGTTGGAGTAGTCGGTGTGATACCAAGACTTCGAGCACAGAGAGCCCTTGATGTAAACGTCATGGACAAGAGTATAATTCTCACGTAGGGGGGTACGACAGTGAAGCAGTATGTTTAAACAAGTCGGGGCTCAGTTTTACTTCGCAACTGGAAACACCGAAAGCTGCCTATGATTGTCATCAAAATGAGTGTACCTCGTCAAGACTGAATATACGTAGAGCTCAATTTCTTCAACAACATGGTACATAATTCTTTGAGATGTCACAGATGTTGACGAACGTTCACTCCGACTTCGACCACCGTGTCGTGCTACCGAAAATGCAAATATTGTTTCAGATGTATATTGGTTCTCTCGAGTATCCTTTCTCAAAGCTAACATGGTTGGCAAAGACCCCTCTGCGATACGATGCCTTTGATTCCCTCAAACCAGGGAGATACTCGTGTCAGAGTCGGGACTCCGTTCCACACCGGGACCTCTCGCACAAACAGCCGTCGATGTGAATGCCATCGACAAGAATATATGAGTGAATTTCTCACGTAGAGGGTTACGACAGTGAAACAGCATGTCTTTGAAGTATGTACCTTCAGATCGGGACATCGAAAGCTGCTTATGAATGTCATTGGCAAGAATGAATGAGTGAGCTTCGTCAAGACCGGGGTCCCGTTGAGCTTAACTTCTTCAACGACATGGTACTGTATTCTTTGGGATGTCACCAATCGTTTGCAACACGTTCACTCCGACTTAGACCACAGCGACGAAATACTGACAACGTGGAGTTGTCATTCAGATAGATATCGATTCCCTTGACAAGTGACCCCCCTAAAGGCTTGCAGTAAACGCGTCACTGGCAACGACGCCCTGCGATATGATGCCTGTGATTCACTCAAAGCAGGGAGATATACGTGTCGGAGTCGAGATTCGGTTTCACTCCGGGACGTGGGACACGGGAAATCTTGGTTTTGGAACCGTTTACAATGCTACCGAGGATGGCAATCTCCAACCTGCCCCGTACGTGTGGTAAGGGGAAAAGAGAGGGCAGGGGCGAGAATCCGGCGGGGCGTACGCCGATGTGTCACCAACGAGGGTGGGATCGATGGCAGTCTGCCGAAAAAGATTGTGGAGGAGGGGAGAAGCGGGAATGGCAACTTCAAGGGAAGATGATGATAGTGACTACTATTTGGGCAAGAATAGGAGTAGCAGCGACGGTTAAGAGGATGCCGACAGCCATGCCTGGTCGGGCAATGATAGGAGTAGGGGTGATGACGAATCGATCACAACTGGCGACCTGCGTTCGACGACGACCACAGCAACGAGGGCGTGCGCACCGCAGAACATTCGGGAGGTGCGGCAGAACGCCGCGAGGCATTCGATCAGCGCCTAGTCTTCACCACGATGATGGCGAAGAGCAAGGAGAACGTAGGCCTGATCTTGCCGTAAGTTTCGCCTGACCAAGCCCTGGAAATACACACCCAAAGTCGGGCATACGTCCAGTACCTACTCGGTGGGCAGACGACCGCGACTCCAATGCAGGGCCCCAAGAAAGGAAGGCCGAAACGTTTCAACTCGCGAGGAAGAGGTCTTCATGCCAAGCGAGAAGAGGAGCAATCGCACATCGGCTATACTGCGACACCCACAAACCCGCGGCGGCTGAAGAACAAATCCCAGAGATCGACGAGGATGAAGGATTCGACCACAGGCGGACATCGGCGGACGAGAAAAACAACGAAACCGAGTACGTATTTAGTTGAGCGCGGAGTCGTTCCTACGGCGGGAAGGGGAGGTGGAATATGTGTCAGGGTCAATCTTGGTGCCAATGAAAGAGGATTGGCGTTGGTATGTCACCGTGTTCTTGGTACTTCTATGGCACCGACATGACCCCGTGACGAACAAACCGAAAGAGTATCGGCAAAATAAGAAGTACCTTTCGGCCCCCATTCCGTCTGTACTTTGCTCCTTGGCGAGGTCACACATCGTGAAGCCACACAACAAAACGACTTGGGAAAGAACCGTACTACCACACGCCGAGCAATTCCTCACCGCTCACAATGCCCCCCCTGGTCTTGCATACGCGGCTTGCCGGACATTGATCATCCCGCACTCGGCGTGCTGGGAACAGAACTCCGCCTTGTTGCTGCCGTCTTTACCGTATGATGGCTGCTTCGTGCATCCTGGATGACCACACCTCCTGTTGACAACATCGATCATGCCCTGCTGCCTGTGTTGTGCACACAACTCCGGCTTCTTGCTACCGTCTCTACCAAACGATGCCCCCTTCATGCACCCCGCATGGCCACACTTTTTTCTGGCGACGTCAACTATACCCTGCTGCCTGGGCCGAGCGCAGAACTCCGGCTTTGTGCTGCCGGCCTTACCATATGACGGTTGCTTCATGCATCCTGGATAGCCGCACCTCCTGGTGACGACATCGACCAGGGAACAAACTCCGCCTTGCTGCCGTCGGTACCATATGATGGGTGGCTCATACACCCTGGTGTTAGAAAGGCTTACCCATTAGACTACTAAGTCAGCGTTGACTTAGTGGTCTAATGGTCAGAGCCTTCTAACAAAGGATACACGCGCGGGATCGAATCCCAGCTGGTCACTTTCACAAGCACCATTAGATATTTTTTCCGGCAGCGCCTGGCGAGGGGTCCGTCCCCAGAGATCCCTACTTGTAAATATCACAGTGACCAGCTGGATGGCAACGAGCCGAGAGTATATCTTTTGTTAGAAAGGCTTACCCATTAGACTACTCAGTCAGCGCTTTACTTAGTGGTCTAATGGTCAAAGCATTCTTACACAAGGATACACGCGCGGGTTTGAATCCCAGCTGGTCACTTTCACAAGCACCATTAGATCTTTTTCCGAGAGCGTCTGGCGAGGGGTCCGTCCCCGGAGATCCCTACTTGAAAATATCACAGTGACCAGCTGAATGGGTAAGCCTTTCTAACACCTGGGTGGCCGCACCTCTTCCTGACGATATCGACAGTACCCTGCTTCGCGTGCTGTGCACAGAACTCCGGCTTCTTGCTACCGTCCATGCCAGATGACGGCTGCTTCGTGCAACCCGGATGGCCGCACCTCTGGACAAAGACAGGGACCATGCCCTGCTGGCTGTGCTGGGAGCAGAACTCTGACTTCTTGCTGCCGTCTTTAACATATGATGCCCCCTTCATGCACCCCGGGTGGCCGCACCTTTTTATGACGACGTTGATCATCCCTGCCTTTGCATGCTTCGAGCAGAACTCGGCCTTCTTGCCGAGGTCTTGACCATACGACGGTCGCGTCGCGCACCCTGAATGGCCGCACCTGCTGCCATGCACAGAGACCATGCCTTGCTTGGCGTGTTGAGAGCAGAACTCCGCCTTCTTGCCGAGGTCTTGACCATATGACGGTCGCGTCGCGCACCCTGGATGGCCGCATCTCATGCTACGGACATAAACCATGGCCTGCTGCTTGTGCTGAGCGCAGAACTCCGCCTTTTTGCTGCCGTCGACACCGTAAAACGGTCGCTTCATGCACCCTGGATGGTCGCACCTCCTGGTGACGATATCGACCATGCCTTGCTGTCTGTGCTGAGAGCAGGACCCCGGCCTCTTGCTGCCGTCGGTGCCATACCGTGCCACCTTTGCGCAATCTGGATGGCCGCACCTCCTGTTGACGACATTGACCATATCCTGCTGGCTGTGCTGCAAGCAGAACTCCGCCTTTTTGCTGTCGTGGACACCAAATGACGGCTGCTTCGTGCAACCCGGATGGCCGCACCTCTTGACAAAGACAGGGACCATGCCCTGCTGGCTGCGCTGAGAGCATAACTCCGCCTTCTTGCTGCCGTCGGTACCATATGATGCCACCTTTATGCAACCTGGATAGCAGCACTTCATGTTGTGGACATCGACCATGCCCTGCTGGCTGTGCTGCGAGCAGAACTCTGGCTTCTTGCTGCAGTCTTTACCATATGATGGGTGCTTGGTGCATCCTGGGTGGCCGCACTTCCTGGTGACGACATCGACCATACCCTGCTGCCGGTGCTGAGAGCAGAATTCCGCCTTCTTGCTGCCATCGGTACCGAATGACGGTCGCTTCATGCACCCTGGATGGCCGCACCTCCTGATGACAATACCGACCATACCCTACTGCCGGTGCTGAGCGCAGAACTCCGCCTTCTTGCTGCCGTCGGTACCGAATAACGGTCGCTTCATGCACCCTGGATGGTCGCACCTCCTGGTGACGATATCGACCATGCCCTGCTGTCTGTGCTGAGAGCAGAACTCCGGCTTCTTGCTGCCGTCTTTACCATACGACGGCCGCTTCGAGCAATCTGGGTAGTGGCACGTCTTCTTGGCGGTATTAACCATACCCTCCTGGCTGTGCTGGGCACAGATCTCTGGCCTCTTGCTGCCGTCTTTACCATGTGACGGGTGCTTCATGCAACCTGGATGGCCGCACCGCTTGCTGACGAGGTCGATCATTCCTGGCTTGGCATGCTTTGCTCCTGGTGAAGAGGTCTTCCGTTGGCGCTTGGACGGCGCCCCTGCGGGGCTGACAATCAAACACGAAGTACACAGGCGAGAGGCAACGAAACACCCGGGTGATCTACAACGGTTGTTCGTGGTGTGTGTGTGCACATGCATGTTTTCTGCACACATGCAGGTCTGTTTGCTTGTTTATGCGAGATAAAACTTTACTCCGTCAGGTATCGATGATCGCGAAGATGATATTGCCAGTGTAGTGGCATTGGCCACCTAAATCGCTCCGGTCGCATGGTTGAAATCGATCTACTGTGGGTGAAAGATACCCGATAATGTTCTCATAAAACTTGGTCATTTCTCGAACGATGCACAGCGGCGAGAGCGCAGAGTCAAGTTCGAACTACAGCCCTCTCCCCTCCCCCAACACAGTTAGGACGGTAGGAGTACCTGTGTTTCCCACCAAGGTTGGCGTAGTATGCAGCAACACCCAGCATACTCCTTGTTTGGACCTTCGACAAACTACACCATTCATAGCGCGTCTTCAAGAATGAACCCATGACGCGGGCGGGGTTAAAATGCCTCGGGTCGGCGTTGTCATGTGCTTGCCGGTCAGCTACTCGTGAATATCGGATGCGCGCCAAATAAACCGTGAAGCCACTTTACTCCTTTCCTGTGATGAAGCCACATGTTGTACGGTCCCATTGTTTTTCTATCATGGGCCGCGCCGTAAGCTCAACCGCTCGAAAGAATTCGACGCGGCGCCGCGTAACCCCCCCGCCCCGGCCCCCGAACAAAAAAAAAAATAACGATATCATGCCTCACGCGTCGCTTGATCCCATGCAACCTGTCCCGGCTATGTTCGGATGCCCACGAGATTTGGAAACCCGGGCTGCACGATAGCGTAGCCCTGTCGCTTTCCTTCTGTTTTTATCTCTTTTTTCTGCCTCGTGCTTTTCGTCATGTTACCCCGTGTAGTGAGATATTCCAGGCATAATGCGAATCATTTCGCGGGAACCTCAAAGATACAGCGGGAACCAAGCAACGCCATGAAACCACCATACGGCGCGGGGCCTATGGCGATCAGGGACGACAAGGCAAACGACACTTCGCGCTTCATAGTGCACCACAGCTGGCCATCGCCAATCGTTACGGCACGCCACCGCCGAGAGACAGACTAGGGTCTCGCTGAGGTGGCGCTCGCCGTTGTGCTTCTTGGTGGAGGAACTCCTTGAGTTCCCCTCTTGGGGATTTTCTTGGCGGGCGGAGGGGCACGAAGCCCAACGGCTGAGCTGTGCCGTCCCGTTTCGCGGTCAAATTGCGTACGGGATGCGTATCGTACCAGTTCTGCGTTGGTAATATAAGCGTATTGCACGACATCGGTGACCCGACGGCTATTACTGTTGTATCCCGGAGCAGATATCGCACGACTTCGAATTGGGTGTTTGTAGAATGGTAGTGCGTACCATTGGGAGTCTCAATCGTCCGAGACTGCTACTGTACAACAGTTTCGTCCCGTCTGGTAGTATTGGGAGGGAGATTTTATGTTTTAGTAGAAGAGGCACGTTAGGATACCGCAGAGGCTTTGTGCCGAGCGGAACGTGTGGTACGGGGGAAGTCTCCCTCCGTAGGCCACAGAAATATCAATCAAGGAAATTCGAAAGAAAACAATGAACTGGTTGCCAAGCTCACGAAGTGGTCGGCTTGTTTTACAACGTTGTTGTCAAGCGACGAAAACCCAACCCCGATGGCAAACACCGGGGGGGGCGAAGCCGGGAGAGGGGGGAGGGGGGGGTGTACTCATAGTCGTGCATGCCGTAGTCGTTAGACCATTGACCTCGCATCCCTACAAAGCCGGGACGGAGCACGCCGGGTTCTCACCGGACCAGGCTCTCACATCGCCAAGCACGAAGCACCGTGAGGTAGTAGGCGAGTCGCGTGAAGGGTGAGCTGCATCCTGCTAAGGGTGTTCGGCATCTTGTGCTTACTTCCTTGCGTACGGATGACAGCTGCGTATGACTTAATTCATTTTCTGGTGCTTTCACTTCCAGAGACAGTTGTAAGCACTGTGTAACTGCCTCGAGGGTGCTTAACACAACATGGTGCGATCATCCCCCTTTGCGCGGAGTAAGGGTTCTCCACCCCGCACAACATGATCTACTCGACCACCATTCATGGTTAACGCCAAAAAAAAAAAAGAGGTAAAAAAAAAAAAGCGGTAACCTGGTTGCCGAGTTCACGAAGTGAATTGGCTTGAAACAACGTCGTTGCCAAGCGACGAAAAACCAATCCCGATGGCAAACACCGAGGGGGGGGCTTGTTTTACAACGTCGTTGCCAAGCGACGAAAACCCAAACCCCGATGGCAAACAAGGCCGAGGGGGGGGGGGGGGGTACTCATAGTCGTGCATGCCGTAGTCGTTAGACCATTGACCTCGCATCCCTACAGAGCCGGGACGGAACACGCCGGGTTCTCACCGGACCAGGCTCTCACATCGCCAAGCACGAAGCACCGTGAGGTTGTAGGCGAGTCGCGTGAAGGGTGAGCTGCATCCTGCTACGAGTGTTGGGCATCTTGTGCTTACTTCCTTGCGTACGGATGACAGCTGCGTATGACTTAATTTATTTTCTGGTGCTTTCACTTCCAGAGACAGTTGTAAGCACTGTGTAACTGCCTCGAGGGTGCTTGACCATTTTAACACAACATGGTGCGATTATCCCCTTTGCGCGGAGTGAGGGTTCTCGTCCCCGCACAACCTGATCTGCTCGACCACCATTCATGGTTACCGCCCACAAACAAAACCAGAGGTAAAAAAAGGCGGTAACCTGGTTGCCGAGCTCACGAAGTGATCGGCTTGGTTTACAACATCGCTGCCAAGCGACGAAAACCCAATCCCGATGGCAAACACCAGGGGGGGCGGCACGTTTTACAACATCGCTGCCAAGCGACGAAAACCCAACCTCGATGGCAAACACCGGGGGGGGCGGGCATGTTTTACAACGTCGTTGCCAAGCGACGAAAACCCAACCCCGATGGCAACCACATCGGGGGGCGAAGCCGGGAGAGGGGGGGGGGGGGGGTGTACTCATAGTCGTGCATGCCGTAGTCGTTTGACCATTGACCTCGCATCCCTACAAAGCCGGGACGGAGCACGCCGGGTTCTCACCGGACCAGGCTCTCACATCACCAAGCGCGAAGCGCCGTGAGGTATTTGGCGAGTCGCATGAAGGGTGAGCTGCATCCTGCTAAGGGTGTTCGGCATCTTGTGCTTACTTCCTTGCGTACGGATGACAGCTACGTATGACTTAATTTATTTTCTGGTGCTTTCACTTCCAGAGACAGTTGTAAGCACTGTGTAACTGCCTCGAGGAAGCTTGACCATTTTAACACAACGTGGTGCGATCATCCCCCGTTGCGCGGAGTAAGGGTTCTCGACCCCGCACAACATGATCTACTCGACCACCATTATGGTTACCGCCAAAAAAAAAAACCGAGGTAAAAAAAAAAAAACGGTAACCTGGTTGCCGAGTTCACGAAGTGAGTTGGCTTGTTTTACAACGTCGTTGCCAAGCGACGAAAACCCAATCCCGATGGCAAACACCGAGTGGGGGGCTTGTTTTACAACGTCGTTGCCAAGCGACGAAAACCCAAACCCTGATGGCAAACACCGGGGGGGGCGGCTTGTTTTACAACGTCGTTGCCAAGCGACGAAAACCCAAACCCCGATGGCAAACAAGGCCGAGGGGGGGGGGGGAGAGGGGGGGAAGGTTAATTGGGCCCAGAAAAACAACAGTTGAAGCATACAGCACGGAATACCCTGGCCAAACGTGTGATCACCCTGGAATGGACCTAAGCATAGCTGATTGGTCGAAGCCCACTTTCGTCCTACCGTGTGACAAAGCCCGTGGTATACATGACCGTGACACTTTCCCGTCTTTTAGCGTCAAGTTGACTCTGAGGTTTCGAGTTGTACCTCCCAGACGGGAAACGGGACTTCACGGGTCATGTTCTATCCAAAAGTCGCCTCCTGTTCCAATCAAAGGACACCAAGAAACGAACCTTCCAGCCCCAAACATGTAATGACAACCGAATCCCAAATCCGAGGCACGCTCAATTCTTGAACACAGCATTGTTGATGCGGCATACCGGCTGACGCATAGCACTCATGCATTCCAAAAGGGCAATGGGTTGAGGGAGAGAGGGACACAGACACATACGTACAAAAGGATTCACAGTGAAAAAGAGAAAGTCCGGGACTACTGCGTAATGGTAGTGCTAAACATTTCAACCTGACAGCTGCAACACAGACAACCATGCTGTTGGAATGAAGGCCGCCTGAAGCCCAATCCTGCCACCTATTAGATATATTGGGAGTACTCGTAGCATAGTATGACGGTTGAGATGTCCGGTACGTACGTACGAAAGTAACAGTGATGAGATGCGGAGGGATAGGAACTTTCTACATATATATATTCCTTGGTTGCGAGAGGTATTTGGTGGAGATTCAGAGAGATTCGTTGAGTGACAAAGAGTGAAGGCGTGCCCAGATACCGTGAAGGTTTGACGAGCACTGGCACGCCCCCGATGAATACAATACTTTCCAATACTTTTGCATTACGTTTTCAACACGTTTCCTACCCATCCACGCTCCGCCATGAGCCACCCGCTTTGAGCTCCAACCACAAAGAACCGAGCCACCCGAATTATCGATCACGCTAGCGTATGACACGTCGTCTACGAGATTCGCGGTCGAGCTTGGTTTAGGAGCATCGCCTTGCGGCGATCGACAGCAGGGTCAAGATGGCCTCCAGGCGCGAAGATGAATCCCGCCCAGCAGCGGAAGCCCGCCAAGCAGCGGAGGACGCCAGGATCGAAGAACTGGTCAACGAGCGAGTAGCAGCTCGGATGGAGCAGCTGATGGAGGAGAAACTGGCCAAGAAGATGGCCGAGATGGAGGTGCGGCATCGAGCCGAGCAGCAGCGGGGAGGAAATGAGGAACAAGA